ACCTTGAATATTTCATGTTAATATGTGTTTTAAATCATTGCTAAGTTCGTTGGAGCATGTGCTTATTAAGATTTGATTTCAAGATCACTTATCGATCCAAAAAATAAGAAAGTTTATTGGATGCCTTTTCTAGATGTTTTAGCTTATACCAAAAAAAGAAGATGTATCTTTTAATCAACAAAGAATAATTCTTTTGAAGCGAGATCATTTTCACCTTCGAGCAATAAAATCAACATTAATTGTTGATTTCCTTTTTGTCAAGAAAATTCAATAAAGTATATCCTTTGATCTTCTTATTTATTATATTAAAAATAATTCTTATAAGTTTCATGATACTTTCAAGTTCAAGTTCAAGAACAATCTATTTTATTTTGAAGGATGATTATAAATTCTAAAAAATAGGGCATGATTAAGTGTTCTTCAAACTCATCATGTCTTATCAACAACGATATATTTTAGATAAAATAAGACTTTGGAACTAATATCGAGAGATTTTTAGTGGCGTCAAATGTAGAAGGCAATAAAAGACTTTGTACAATCATGTCATATTTATTCAAGATTCAAAACTCCTCTCCATCAATCTTATAAATTTCTTCAGCTATTACTTATTCCAAAACAACTATGGTCTTTTCTTTCCATAGATTTTATTACAGATCTTTCAATCTCAGATTTGTATGATTCTATATTTGTGTTAGTAGAATTTTTTACTAAGTTGATACATTTTTTATCATTTATAAAATCTATCACAAAAGAAAAAATACATAAGCTTTTTTTTTAATAACATCTATTGCTATCACGGATTACCTAAAGATATTATATCGGATATGGAGACTCAATTTATATCAAGATTTTGGAAAACCATTTTTAAGATTTTAAAGGTAGATATTAACTTCTCTTCAGATTTTTATCCTCAAATTGATGGACAACGGAATAAGTGAATCAAATTTTGGAGTAGTACTTGAGATATACCATTAATTATTATTAAGATGATTGGACAACTCTTTTACCATTGGCAAAATTTTCATACAATAATTCGGTACATTCTTCTATTCAATAAATATCTTTCTTTACCAATTATGGTTATCATCTACAACTTGATACTTTTGACTTTTCAAAAGTTGATAATCCTACAAACAAAGACTTATCAAATTCTTTGTCAGAGCTACATATAACAATGAAGGTATAATTAAAGAAAGCTCAAGAACAAAAAATAATTAATATAGATGCTTATCGCAAGGAACAACCACAATTCAACATAGGTAACAAGATATGGTTACTTTGTTGTAATATTAAGATTACTTGTCCTAGTGACAAGTTGGATTATTATAGGCTTGAACCTTTTCTTATTATTGAATAAGTCAATCTTGTTGCTCATCAATTATATCTACCAGAGTCTATGGAAATCTACTTGGTGTTTCATATGTCTTTTCTTGAGTCATATAAAATAGTGAATATGTCATGAAAGAAGACAAATGCCACCTCTTCTTATAGAAGTGAGTAATAAATAAGAGTTTAAGGTGGAAGAAGTCTTAGATTCAAGGTGGCACCGAAATAGGTTCGAATATCTTTTTAATTAGTATAGATATGATATTAATAAACACACATGGGAGTCATAAAAGAATATTGTAAATGCAGCAAAGAGAGCTGAAGCTTTTCATTGACGATATCCATCAAAATCAAGATGAAGAATAGCAAATCTTTGCTATAAGAGAAATAAAATCAAACAAAGATAACACTTTATTTTCTATCCTTCTTTGCACCTTTTATGTATTTGTAACGCTAAAGAGATGGAGAACTAACAACCAGCACATTCAACTCATGAGCTTTCATTTCTTGATTTACCAGATGAGACATTGTGATTATCACAAAATCACGTAATCAAAATAAAGATCCTCAAGAATAATATGTCCTTCTTCAAATAGATGGCGAGATACAACATATTTGGTATCACAAACATAGAAAAAAATTTTGATATTTGGTAATTTTATTAGAGGTAGGAACAACTCGTGACAATGTTCCAAATGTTTTATTTGAAGGAAGTTACAAAGACCTCAACAACGATCAAATAACATGGTAGTCTTCTTACCTTGATAACGGATACTATCAATAATTAAGAAGACTTGTCAATCATCTTCAAAGAAAATAATAATCAAAGTATGTAGCAAATACAATTTGCCACATCTTGGATTTCATCAACACATGATGAACGCTCCTTATAGAACTTATATCTAGAAGAGGAGATAATGTCATGGATATATGTAGGTATTCTAATAAATATCTATATGATTAAGTAAAAGTATATAAAAATAGACAAAAGTAAATCAATTTCATAATACCTTCTAGAGAAGCTTCTTAAAAGCTTCATAGACACTACTTTGAATTTACATGTGTTTGTAATTGATTGATAGATTAGAAACTTAGTCAATAAGTTAACTACATATTGATAGCTTGTGGAATAAGCTAACTATGTGGGACACATATAAAAAACTTACCTTATAAGTTAAGATATGTGTCTTGTAAAGTCAACACATTTTGGAGATCTTATAGGACATTGCCACGTAGCTCCTAATTAAGAGTATATAAGGAAGCAAGAGTGAAGCCTTCTTTACTCTTATCAATGGCTTTCTAGTCTTTAGACTTCTTTCTAGATTTTTTAGTGTTCTTATTTTTAGTAATAGCCATTCTAGTTCAATAATATATTATCTTTGAGTGATTTTGTAATTCTTTTTAGTGTCATAAGAGTGTATTGAGGATTTTTTTCTTTGAGATTTATGTCCTTGATAATAGCATATAAATAAGAAACTTACTTTACAAGTTTAGATATATATCTTGCAAATTAGACACATGTCAAAAGTCCTATAGAACGTCACCATATAACTTTTAATAAGATAGTATATATAGAAGCAAGAGTGAAGCCTTCTTCATCCTTGTCAATATCATTTTAGTCTTTAATCTTATTTCAAGACTTATTAGTCTTTTTGTCTTTGCCAGTAGTCATTCTAATTTAATATTATACCATATTTTGAATAATTTTTAGTCTTTTTGAGTAACAAAAGAGTATATTGATCTTTTAGTTCTTTGAAATTCATGTCCTTGATAGAGATAGAAAGAAAAGAAGAATATAAGTATATCTTTATAATTCTAAAATATATATATATATATATATATATATATATATATCAATCTCGTCTTTTATCACAGGTCATACAAGACTCATTCATTCTTTGTTGATACTACAACAATAATCCAACATAATACAATGCCATTATTGCATTATGACCTCCTTTAAAACAACATCATTTCAAGTCCTTACTTCCAAATTGTGACTATTTTCAATTTGCATCAATTAGGTGGAGATTTTTACTATGCTATTAACAGTTCTTCATAGTGGTGTTACAATCATGTGGTGGTACTAGCTAGCCTTTATTCTTTATACTATTGGAACTTTTTACTTCCTTATGTCCCTCATCTTTGCCTTTGAAAAAAAAAAAAAAAAAAAAAAAAAAAATGTTAGATCTTTCTATTTTATGTATTATATGTCTTGCTATTGATAGCTCACAACTCTCTTTCTTTCATTTGCTAGAAATTTTTTAAATCAATGAAGTAAAGCATCTTTAACTCCTTCATTGTAGTTGATTCTCTTCAAACACTATAAATCACTACCAACTTAATTCAATATTATTCTTCATTTGCACATCAAACTTCTTTCATTAAATTGATACTAAATAACTAGCGCTATTATGCTATCTTAAGATCTTTACTTATAAACAAAGTATTGAATGTAGTAAAAAATGATAAAGTGCATTGCTTCTCCAACTCTCCTATCTATTCTACTTTCACCATGATCCAAATCAGTCAGATCCATGCCCTCAATTTGATGTAAGTCATGTTACAATTCCAATACGGCAAGTATAGAGTCTCTTCTTTTTCTTCTCAATCATATTCATATCTACTCAATCTCTATCAATCATATTCATGTCTACTCAATCTCTATCAAGGTCAATTAAAAGAATAACTAATAAGCAAAGGAAAGGAAGAAAGATATCTTTTATTCAATGTCATGGTCACAATCATGTGCCTTATAACTAAAATTTACACATTGGTCATGGAGGTCACAATACTTTGATATCCACCAAAGCTCCACACTACCAAGGTTGCAATCTCAACTTTTATATTCATATTCATCTACATAAGTCACACAAAGTCACACAAAGCATTACGAATTACGAAGTTCACTAGATCATGTATTCGCTAGATCACACGGCAGCAAAACCAGAAGAAGACGAACAAAAAAGTAACAGCTGAAGCCACCGCAAACCTATTTCAAGTCACAGATGCAATCCAATTAATGCTTTCATGACCTCTGGGTAGAAATCATACGTAAATTCTAACCATGGAGGAACATGGACAAAGTAACGACGAGCGTCCACTTCAAATTGCTCAGGGGCAAGAACGATCCTCCACATCCGGAAAGAAAACAACACCTCAATAATCGGGGTAATCAACACGCAGTATGAAAAGATCAGCTGGGCAGATGAAGTGGAATCGAAAACTGACAGCGGTACATACGTAGAGCAGAATCGGTGTCTGAGAGATGGAAATCTGCAGAGCGAGAGAGAGAGAGAGAGAGAGAGAGAGAGCAGCAACGCCAGAGATTGCACAAGAGCGAGAAGCGCAATCAAAAACCTCGACGACGAAACAGGGGAAGCTCTCCGGAACCCTACCGGTCCTTGCTTTGTCAACTGAGAGCCTTGCGTTCCATTTCTGGTGGCGCGGTCCTTCTCGTTCTCCACAACGTGCGTGTCGATCAGATCTGTGTTGCGGTCACGACAAAGGTAATCTTGCTGTAGGTAGCCCGTCCTTAGAGTCGCTTGTTGAATTGGTGTTATTAAGATGGTTATTGCGAGTTTGTCATTTAGGTTGTCTGAAGGGTTACGCGGTCGAACAAAGCAGTCTGAGCAGAGAACGCGTGAAATACAGAATTGTGAAACATAAGCACACTGTTAGATCATGAAGTAAATGATGACCTATGCTGGTTCCGTATGGATTGGACTAAGTATTGGCACAAGGGCAGAATTGTCGCGTCGGAGGAAGTGATCACGTGGGACGGAGAAAGGCATGACGCTGGCGATGTTGTCACGCACTGGAACAATATCTCATCCTTCATCCGGGCTGACGAGAGAAAATTAGGGCCACCATTTTGCCAGATGGTGGCTCTTGTTACTGTTCATGGTTTGTAATTTCACTTGCCATCGTACAAACTGGAAAGCAATATGGATGGATGGAGATGGAATGGCTAAAGACAAGATTGGGTAGGTGAAATTGCGACCCAGACGCTGCAGCTCATGTAGTGCCCACGTCTCGCCTATCTTTCCCTTTCGCTGCTTAGCGTATTTGACCTACCTGCCCGCGCTCTCTGTGGCACTGGCTTGGTTGATCCTTTGGCGACCACACACGAGGTCCATCATTTGCTGGCTTCTTTAGCAAGCTTTCCGAGAACCCTTCCCGTGCCTAGTTTGGTTTGGCGTGTCTTTGGGTTCTGTTTCTGACGTCTGATGGCAGGAGGGGGATTTGAGGATTCGCAGGGTAGCCTACCCACAGCATCATGCTTGGCTGATTCCGTCTAGTGTTTGCGCCTTGATGGGTGCATGAGTCGAAGTTCCATGTCCACTCAATCCATTCAGCTTGGACTTTCTCTGTGTGGCTATTATTCCCGGTAAAGGTGACCCGAGGATCCCTTTCGTCTGGTTTGGTAATAGGATTTTTGTATTGGAATCTACGCTCATCACGTGTATTGCGGAGGTCAGTCATGCTCACCTCGCCAGCCCACGGCCATGCCTTCCGTACTTCGGTGCTCGAATCTCTTTTGCCCCAGGTTCGCTGCTGCCGTTGCGCCTCACCTCGCCACCGGCAGTCGACGCTCAAGACCGACATCAACATTCTTACGTAAATTCTCCACAACGGTACGTCCATGTCACGGAGGAGATAGAGCGGCTTCCAGATTTGGGGAAATGAAGGTTGCGAAGGAAGGAAAGAATCAACCTTTCAGCTTGACGTTGTCCTCGACGGATTCGGACTCCCAATCCGACGATGTTTCTGCCCTTTCTCATGTGAGGCGACGACGCCTTTTTTCCTTGTCATTTTCTTCTCCTGATCTATGCAGGGAGACTAGGGCGAGGGCAGGGCTTGGAACACTTTAGAATGCGGGGTGCCACATTTTTTTAGTGTCATAGTTTAATGAGCTACAGAATTTGGTATTCTTTCCATGCACTTTAGATACTCGATTTTGGGTAACTTTGAACGGTGATTGACAGAATACTTGTATAGCTCGGCAGCAATGCAATTCCAAAGAAGTTGAACCAATCGAATGGAACTCTAGCTCGCAGTTTACACTCATCTATCCTTAGGCACATTATTGCATTCCCGACAATACAGTTTTTCGACGAAAGAATTTGAATTTGCACCTTGAAAGTATTGGGATGCTGTGTGTGTTTGTGTGTGAAAAACCTGTGGTAGCTCTTAGCTTCATCTCTATCCATACAGTGAACGGAGGTGCACTGGATATTAGAGACCCCCAACTTGAAGCTTACCTTCCCAAATCGCTTTTAGTGATATGATCTGGAGTTCTTTATAAGAAATGGATAGCACTAGGCCTCCTCACTTCAAGGCAGGGTTGCTCTTCGCATCTACTTATTGTGACTTGGAATATGTACTCAGATTATGGAGCCCATTCATGAGGGCGATACAGACTTGCTCTTGGTGTTCTGTCCAGGAACATTTCAAACCTCGGAGAACTACTTCCCATTGATGCACACGATACAATCCCAACTTAAGCTGCGGCTGTGGATCGTCGTGTTGCACAATACCGACCAAGATGTACTGAGCACATCCAAAGTCGACGCCAGCCTCACGGGTGTGTTGGCACTTTTGAAGGAACGTGGGTATCGCCCTGGCAGCAATGAGATTGAAAATATATTTGTAGCTGGCCACAGGTGCGTTTTCGTTGAGATTCCCCATGCTCTTCGCGTCACAAGTTTGCATGTGATACGTTGCAAACCTATCAGGTTCAACTTGGCCATCTCCGTTTCAGTCCCAATGGTAATGAGTGGTATTTCGGGGAATGTCCAGCTTTGGGGCATGGGTATCGAGGGCAGTGGCCGTGAGACGAGCACAAGCGTTTATTCAGATAGGATGTTACTTCGATTCAGAAAATGACAACCTCGCTCAACATCCCAAGCCCGTGCTCACTCTGTGTGGCGCACTCGACGGCCAAGTGACACTGGCAGCAATTGCTAAGCACGCTGGAGAAGTTGCTGCTACCGAGCAATACCTCGGCCGGTACAACACGTATGCTGTGAAGCCGGTGATCTTCATTTCGGGCATGAATCATGCGCATGCCTCCAACGGACGTCTGAATTTGGAACGAGGTGACCTACAAGCAACCATCAGCATTGATGACGCTCGTCATCGTGTTGCAGAGCTTGTGACCGCATTCTTGGCAGTGCAGGCGAAAGGCCCGAACGAAGCAGAGGGCGCTCGTGGGCTGGAGATATTGACTAGAGGTGTAGATGACACACATGCTAGGTACCGGGCGTTATGGGAATCGATAGCAAATCAAGAAGGAGATGCTGTTGCGCACCAACTGCACATAGCCTCGCTTCCTTCATTATGCCCTGAAAACATTACCAGCATTCACCACGATTTTCGTGACAATTTTGTGATCTCAAAACCATGGATTGACACTGGCATGAACCGAGTGTTCATTACGACCTACTTATCCCCTGCCGAGAAGCAAGGCATCTGTAACTTGTGGGTGAAGATGAAAAGCCGTGAAGCATTGTTGCCTCATTTTGGCGCAGGAGATGATGCTGGAGCTCGATACGACCCAGCAGCAATTCTAACCTTGGGCAAGGAGATTAATACAAAAACCTTCGACGCAGCTTTATCCTTAGTTTCTGAGGACGCTCGTGAAAAGTTCATGAAGATGGGGAAGAAGCTGCAATTTGTTGACGATTCGTTAATGCAAAGCGCTGTATCCTGGATTGAGAGCGATTTGAGCTTTACTCCCACCGAAAGTGGCGATGTCGAAGTGAGAACACCTATTCTATACAGCCCTGCGAATATAAATCCTCGCTTTGCAGGTATGCATTACATGAAAGTCCTGACCCTCGCGAGGGCCATCCATTGGATTCTACTCAGTTCGTTTCGGTGAATGCGAGGTCAGCAGGTGATCAGTTTTCGAATCGTGCACCCGCATCTCAAGGTCATCTAATCTCATCTGTATGTAAGTCCTGTTTGTCAGTAAAAACCTTAATACCAACACTCTTCTACGCCATTGTCAGCACCGCACATATTTATCTCTGATGCGAGGCTGAGAGTTTGCACACTGTCATTCCCAATCGTATGACAGCTTGTAGTAACAGCACATCACAAAGTATGCAGCTCACCAAAGAACGTATCAAAATAGCACACGTTATTTTGCGTCCAGATGGGTTATTCCAAGCTGACATTATGTCATGATATTGACGTAAATTAATTGCGTAACTGGTGATAAGCTTTTTATTCTAAACAATACAGCCACCTGACATCTTGAGATCTGACTGTACTTAAACAATCACACCTTAGAAAACTCCCTTGTGAATTTTAAAACTGTGTGCAAGCTGATGACTGGGAATTACTGTTTATCAATTCGAGAAAACTCTTCGAAAGTCCTCTGGTGCTCCAGCAACGCGCCGCTTCAATCAATGCACCTTCAACCACGGGAGTCCCCACCGTGTGCGCAGTGCGGATGAGAAAATGGTTCATATCAATGTAAACCTCGTCACTGTCCACAAAAATGTTCCTGCAGCACTTGATGCTGCTTGCCGCTTTCATGTCACTTTAGGCCTTCGCTTCACGATTTCAGCTGCCCATGCTTTTCCAAGATCGGTTTGAAATTTTCCTGAACCCGCATCGTTTCCACAAGGTTACTGAAGTGTCCAAGCCCAGAATCCAACTTGAAGATAGTAACAGAGCCAACCAAATCAGACATCTATGCACCCTCGTTTGACTCTTTTGTCTTCTGTCTGTTGAGATAAATCCTAAACTACCGATTCATTTAAATCCGACTCACTACCGACAGCTGTATTGCACTAAAATTACAGCCAAACACCTCTCAGATTAAAAGACGCGTCTAAGCCAAACAAACTGAAAAACACCTAGAGCTATGAGGCTATGAACAAGGCGAAAGTAAAATGGAGCTACCTTTGGTGGATTGAAAGAAGTCATCCAGTACCTTGTCTTGCTCTGCAATCATAAACCAGATTCGTAAAATCTCCACACAATAAACTTGAGAAACATTTAGTTCTTGCAGGAATCTACCGTACGTTATTTCTACAGCGTCCTATCTGATTATAGCATTAGACATGCATTAGCAACATGTCAAGCACTATCTGTTCACGGACGTCACTTCAGCAAATAAGTATACTGGATTAAGAATTTTTCACTCACCTTTTTCGTATTCCACAGCTTGCAAGATCATCTCCAACTGCACAAGTGATCAGTGAGTGGATGAATAACCACTTCGCGTAAAAAGCTCCACAACTTTCCTTATAGTAGCAGATTGCACTTTCTAGACACATGCGTTTGTATATCCCACGAAGAAAGACTAGTAACACAAGAACATCCTTCTTTTTAAAGCTAGATTATGTTCATTGTCTTAAATAAGTCGGTATGTTGAATACTTTAATTAAACACACCTTGTCCAAGTCTTTAACAAATTTGGCTTCAGGAGTGCTGTTATTCTCGTACTCCTGCCATAGCTCCCTCACTTCATCCGCTGCATAATCAAAATCCATCATCATAACATAGCTGAAAACGATACAGTGCAGTACTTAACGTAAAAATGGTCGAACCCATGAGTAAGCGCGATCCTGGAAAGCGTCAAAAGTTACACTGATACCCACCGTAACGCGCGATGTTTCCATATTTATTTTCTTCATGACACAGTTCAAGCTTAACCAGGTCTAAATTTTCCTCACCTCCCATTCCACCTTCAAGTAACTGGCACATTTCATCGATTGCAGCACTTTCTAGTCTATTCTTCTCTTCTTTAGGAACATTGTCATTGGGCGTAATGTCACCCACAATGGCTGTTATAAAAATAAAAGTCAATGTTCAGTCTGGAGTGATAATGCCGCATGTATGGTGTAAGTAGACACTATCTGAACACAAAAATTATATCCGAGGATGAAATAAAGCTACTTGAGACATTTCTAAACAATATAAAAACATCACTGCATTAAGTGACCTAATATGCACTCGAGATAGGAAAATTGAACCTTACCCTCGGCAATGTCATGCACCACGGCCATCTTTACACACCTGCATTGCCATGAAGGTGATGAACACCAAGCAAAATTTTACAATAAAAATCTCAAGTAGACACCTACTATTTGAATAACTTGCTCGAAAGGGCACATTCAATCAACGAAGTGAGATGATGCTCACCTATCTTTGTTCACACCTGGTAAATCTCCTGAGATAATAGCCATGACTGCCATGCGGTACATATGGTCAGCAATAGATTCCGAATCCTTCACGCCGTGATTTACCCACCCTGTTCTCTTTGTAGTCTGCATGGTAAGGGGAAAACAGCAAGGTCACAAACAAGAAGTTTTTATTACTGTTTTTCAATTAAAGCACTGTTGAAGTATACATAACATCGACAAATATCAGCAACTCGCCTAAGATCTTCTCTGTCAGATACAAGCAGGACGAACGGCTAAGTGCAAAGCTCTAGCCCAAAGCTCCAGAAATAATCGATAAGGCAAAAATTTGGGAAAGTACATTGCTGATCATGTAAAATTAGCCTTTAAAAGGAAACAAAGAATTTAATCCGAAAACCTCCATTAATAATTCCACATTGGAACAAAAAGAGGCACGATTCTTCTATCGGTAGATACGTTGATTCCCAAGAGATGTGATCATGTTTGCCAAGGTTGTACGTGTACAGCAGCTTAAAAATGCCTACACCGGACGGTAGATTACACCTTGAGTCACTCTAATGCACCAATCACGCACATCACACCTCGAACATGAGAACGCGAGATCAAAACCTAATTCGCCCAGACAACAATGGTCGTTTCATGTCAACATTCCAGAACTTGGGTTCATGAACCGAATATCTGAAAAGCAGACTACAAATTCGATTGCCTCACGATGGAGCTTCGTGCAATTACTCGAGCACATTAATTTTATTAAAAAAAAGGGGGGGGGGTCCATATATATTTAAGACCACACTGCATTTACCTTGAGACGCTGAATAAGCGTGAGAAACTGGATCGCGGAAGCAGGCGACAATGACACGCTAGAATTATTTTCGAACGCAGTAGCGCCATCGCTCCCCAAAGAATTCATAGCAGACACTGCTGCGCCCGCTCCATTCTCGAACTTCAGCGTCGAGAAGCCTCGTAAAAACCACCTGGAGACGGGTAGCGAAGACGCAAGGCCAGCAGCGACGCCAGAGCGCAACAGAGGAGCAGCAGGCACAGAAGAAGAAGAAGAAGAAGAAGAAGAGAGTCCCTCGTATGAGGAGGGGAAGGAGGACGGGGAGGAGACGCGCAGATGCGGAATTCTTCGGTGCCAGGAGGAGCAGGAGGAGGAGAGGGACGCTGCGAGAGGCATGCGCACCAGCAGCACGGCCCCGCCCGGAAGTAGTAGCCCCATGCCTGCCTGCCTGAATGAATGCCTGAATGCTTCTGCTGGAGCTCCTCGTCGTCCTCCTCCCCCTCCTCCCTCCCTCCGTGTGGCGCGGGCTTCGTCCTCCGCTGCTCTTCTCTCTCTGTTTCTTTCTTTCTTTTCCTCCTCCCCTCCCCGATTTGTATTTCTCGCCGTCGTCTCTCTCGCGTGCGCGTGTTTTTGGAGCCCCTTTCGGTGCTCGCAACAAACGTTCCTTGATGATATAAATAAAAATATAGATATATATATATATATATATGTCAGTGAGTTTTGGCACCCCCGCACCCCCCACCCCCACCCTTTCTCCCAGAGGGTATGTGTCTCTCTTGGCTACCAGGAGGGAGTGACGGAGTGAGTGATAGTGAGGGTGTGCGTCCTCTCCCTTCCCTTACACAGTGAGCCAGCCCCCCCCCCCTCGCTCGCTATTTCTGGTAGTCCGGCCCACTTCGGGCTCTCGCTTCATATTCTTCGAATATACTATTACTCCGGAGAAGAATGTGTGAATATGGCGTAATACTCTGTAACAAAATAAAATAACTAAATGTTTGGAATAGATTTCTATTGGATGTGTAAATGTACTGAAGAACAGTTCTATACTTCACTTAAACTTGAAAATTGGTATCAGATTGGATATAAACATTGTTACACATAGACAAACATAGGGTGTTACTAATGCCACCACTGCTTTTTCTACTACCATTTGCCATTCACCTCACACCATAGTTTTTGCTATTGGCACCACAACCCACCATCCTCTGAACATATTTTTTTTTATTATTTTTATTCCAATCAAAAAATATGTTAATATTTCAATCTTTTTTTCAATTTATATATAAAAAAATAGTTTTAATTTTAATTTTAAAAATTAATTGAAAAGTTAATATGAATAAAAAGTTGTGGTGGCAAGAACAAAAGTTATGGTAACATGAGATGATTGGCAAAATGTGGTGGCAATAACAAAAATTGTGATGGCATTAGCAACATCCTGTTTAATATTTTGTTTTTGTTTTACTCAATGATTGAAAGTGTCATTGCTTCAAGACATAAATTCCTTTTATCCAAACTCAGAACAAAAATCTTTTAAAAAAAATATAAACATAAAAAAATTCATATTCCTGATTGAACTGAAACAAGTATTGAAGATAAAATTAACAATCATGTTCTTATTATATCCTCTAACAAATTTTTAAAATATACAGTGTAAAAATAGTGTGAAATTAGTATTATAATATGTGGCACAGTTGAACAATAAGTAGTAACACAAAATCCAAAGTTTTTACAAGCTACCATTTGAATGATTGTAATATAAAATTTTATTATACTTAATTTTGAGAATTTTAATAAAATCATACTAGAGTAAGCATTATGGTACAATATATGTTACCTTCAATTACATGATGCATCATATTTTGTCATAATTAATTTCTTTTTACTCAAGAAAAAATTATGCATAATATTACTGGTTAAAATTTAGATGGTCATAAATGTCACAAATACCAACTTTTGGTACCATTTATACACACACACACAAGGTTTTAACACTACAAGCCTCTCTGTACACATATAAAATCAAAATCAAAAACATTTGTACCCAAGTTCTAAAAAAACAAACAACTGGTATCTAATCATGAAAGAAAGGCATAAATAGATGTGGTATTGAGAACACTTTTAGATATGACAACTCTTTTTTTGGTTTTATTTGTGACTCTTTTCTTAACCTCTTAATGAGTTGACACAATCATCATAATATCTAATTCTATGCTCTGAAAGTGTTATCTACCATCTGTTGTGGTGTTATTGTAAAAAACTTCTACTTTTTTATGGCAGCAACAAATTGTTTCTTGAAAAATCGAAAAAAATTGCTTAAACAGTTGTCGTTAGTAATTTATGTTTTCTAAAAACTGTAGTATTGAATTTCATTAAAGTACAATAGTTTTTTAATATTCATGAACTATCTACTTTTAAATTTATATTGTGCCAATCTTGATCGGAATACTGTATCTGTAGAATTGCAATTTATATAAAGATTGACATGACCAAAAAATTGTAATTTTGTACAGAAAATGTATAAGATAACAAATGAATTGATGAATACAATACAATAAATAAGATTTACACTTCCCTCTTTTAGGAAATGAAAGTTTTTTCTTTTTTTCAAGTTTTGTATCAACTTATGATTTCATTAGTACAACAAACAATCATAATTGTGCACTTATAATTATAATTGAAGTGCTGCAAAATGGTCTCGATAAATTTGATGCAATAAAATTGAGGTTTAATGGATTTATTAACAGAATATGACTAATCATTAAACTTCAAAAGTAAATTTTTCTAATTTAACCACCTACATACATATTTACCAGAAGTATATTTTTTAACCAATATTATGTTGTTTGTTGTTGTTTTTTGAAGTTGAAGAATCAAATTTTAGCAACATGATAATTTTCCTAGATTAATTTTATTGTATTTGTTGTAGACATAATGCAATGTGCACAGCAACATATATGATGGTGTTCTGTAATAGATTTGTTACTCTATGTTGGTATGTGTATTTCAAATTTAACATCTATCAATTCACATCAAGTAGAGTAGTATTGTATGCATTGATGAAATGTTTGTACAGATAACAAATAAAATAAATATTGAATCCAATTGTTTCTCAAACATGAAATCAACCTCAATAGTTACTATTTTAAACTAAAAAGGAACCATATATCGCTGAAAATATATATTTTACGAGTAGTATGCAAATAATATGATTGTGGTTAATTGTGATTACCCATATAAATAACTTTATTACTTTTATCGAGAGACACAAACAAGAAAGAGTACAAAATAAATACACGTGATGAGGGTTACGTCAAGAAGTAGCATAAAAAAAAGCCACTATTGCATGCTTGATTTGATCAAGAAAAAACAACAATATTGGCAATAAATTTGTTTATAAAAAGGCATTGAATGTAACCAAATTACTTAGAGGGTGTAGCTAAAAGAAGAAATATCCATCATGTATGTATGAAAAATAACAACACATGACAATCTGCTGAAAAGTTCATGAAATTGTTCCCTCAAAATAAATATAGATATGCAGAGTATCACTAATTTCAAAAAAAATAAAAATAAAAATGGATTTCTATGATATGCATGAAGTATTTTGCAAAGAAGCACACCGTGACAAATATGTGGGAAATAATCATCAAAATTAAAATACAAAATGAACACTTGTGGGTTGACCATGAACTCATTCACGTTTATTTTATATTTCAATCCTAACATTCAATAATATTATTTAACAAATTGCTAATTGCAAAATTGGAACTGCCAGCCCCACAGATTGCGCAACATCATACCATATGGCAACAATTACCATTATCGGGGTAAGGGTAGAGAACGCTGAATTGAGTGTGCACAAGGTTGACGACCACGGAGGGATTCGAACCCTCGACCTTCAGATCCGAAGTCTGACGCGCTAATCCACTGCGCTACGCGGCCTTAGGGCTTGTCGGCGGGATAGAGTGATAATTTAAGAATATTATATCAGTTGATCGAAGGCAGCATGTCTTTAAATCGATAGCCAGATTTTGTGCTTTGTTTCCCCAACTTTGGGCACTTCATGCCTGCTATTGAAAGAATAGTTTATTTATTTATTTATTTATTCATTCATTCATTCATTTATATATATATATATATATATTTTTTTTTTCAAGTATTTTCATTGTCCTGTCAAATTTGTTGTTGTTGTTGTTGGTTTTATTTATTATTTTGTTTGTGCATTTGAATTTCGATTATTTTTGTACCAAAGAGTGCACAACAGCAACTCGCGATTCTTCGATGCGTACACTGTTGTAATATGACAAGCCCCAAAGGTATACGTGCAGAAAGTTTGCAGAAAACACTGTTAACACTAATGCCATCCCTTCCCAAAAATATCAGTTACAGAGGACCTGACATACAGAATACTTCTTTCTGTAGTTTATGATATACATAGATAGATATTTTGTTAAGGCATGTAATGAATACAGATTGTGAGTGTTCCATTGAGGAACACCACCAGCGATGGCAAGGCCTCTTCATGAGGCCCCTACATGCGATCTTGAGAGCTGCATCCACTTTGACACCAAACCCAGCACAATGCAACACTCCGTTTGTTTGATTGTTTGATGGCGCCATCTACCTCCGCCTAACCTTATAACAGGCAGCTTTACCGACAGATCTGGCTCCGCCCCCAGCGCCGCGGCATCCTCCGCCACGGCGAATGGCATCACATCCTGAAACACCGCACTCCGCAGAGCACCCATTCCGGATGATCAGGAAATCATGGGGGCGGGGAGAGTTTCTCGCATGGCTCTGTCCAACAGGATGACCAATGGCAAGCCATCGCTAACTTCGGAGAGACCAGTGCCTCCATCTGCGCTGTCTTATGCTGTCACATTGTCCGCAGATTCTAACATTGTGCGATGAGAAGCTCCTATCGTATGATAATTGTATGTACAAGCAATTGCGTTGATCCGCACTTGGGATCCTACCATATAAGTTCTCTACGTTTCTAGATTCTAGATTGAGCCCGTGTATGCGATGTCGAGATTTGGTAACCACCGACGTCCTTGAAGGAATTCGTCCACGCCGAACTTTTTGGCTTGTTCGGGGTACAGAATCCTGCTCCACGGGACTCGAAGTTTGGCATCCGAACCTGCACCAAAATTAGCATACTCGCCATAGTCGACGTGAAGCATTGAAGATATCTGTGCATTCCACAACGTCCATCCTTCGGCGGTCACCACTTTGCCTAAGCTCGATTTGATGTACATTGTCCTTGCATACTGGTGCCTCGGTCGCCCTAAATAAGCAGTTCCAGCTTCGACCGAATCTGATGCAGCATCGATCGCACATGCTTCGAAGACGAGCCCCGCGAATTGCTGAACCAAAGGCGAGGCGATGTCGCTTGCGGTGAAGGTGATCATATCATCAGGATTGGGGGGTTTTGCTTGCAGGGTGCACTGCTGGAACACCGCGGCTGCGCTCCCAAATACGAGGTCGACGGTGCCAACAATCGTGCAAGAAGTGTAAAATTGCCAATTGACGTGTGCGTAGAGTGCGTTCTGAGTTTCAAGTGTCCAGAATGTGGCACAGTAAGCACACGTCGACAGTAATTTGTAGTGTAGCACGCATTATAAAACTCTGATTCATTTATTTAAAAATAATCAATAAACAATAGACACAGAGTGATGTTGTGAAATGGGCAAGAGTACCTACCTGGTAACCTTCAATGAAGACGTATGCGAATGCTGACTGATGCGAGGTCACTCGAAGCGCCACGGCTTGTTCACCACTGGGTTCGGCAGTGTTCCGGATAGTAAGGGCCTTGGCAACGAATCCATTACCAAGAACAGCTGCAAAAACGAAGCTGATTACGTTGTCCATCCTTGGAATTATTCGGTCAAATGACTCTCTCTTGTACTCACTTTACTTAAACGTGTGTCTTAATGTTCAATAATCACTCAATGCAGTTTATGAGAAAGCTGGGGGCAATCAAGTTGCACTCACTAACTGTCGCTGTGAATATCGTTGACGTCTGATCAACCGCGACGCTTCTGTTTCCAGTGATGATGGTCATTCCAGCGCCGTCGCCCAAAAGTGTCACGTTTGTTTTGTCCCTTGGCACTTTCACTTGCTCAACATAGATTCCTGCCTTTATGCGTATTACATATCTCTTGCTTGAATTAGTCGGAGCTTCATCGATCGCGGTTTGAATTGATTTGTGATTACCAGAACCATCGAGAGCGACTACTGAGTCCGGCGTGACGCTGCTGGTGCTGGTGAGTAGCTGTCGGTCTTTCTTGCTCAACCAGGTTGGAAAGACATCATGATTGTCGTCGTCCATTTCATATATTCTCGTTCGCTCATCAGGCGACAATTTCGAAGCTCTAGTCAGCCCTTCCTGCCATGTCCAGAAGGTTCACAGAGGTTCAAGAGAGGGGAATATATCAATTATGGGAGCGCTCGCTCTCAAAATTTTACACAGAATTGAACTAAACTACTCACACTCAAACCACTCAATTTGTTGACCCACACACAGGAGGATTTTCAAGCCCTTGTGCTCTCATACCGGAGCTGCTAGAAGGCGTCGTCGGGGAAGCGGGGTGCCTTTTGCGTTCGAACTATTCAGACGCTGAAGCAGCGACAGTGCATTTGACAGAAGTTCTGTGTTCCGGTCGATATTGACTTCACATGAAACTTTCCGCTCTCGCAAGCCATCCACGCAGGTGAAGTGATAGGTCAAGGCAGCGCTAAGAGCTTGTTCCAGATCACCCACTTGCGTGACCTCCGACGAATCCACAGCATGCAAACATCTTCTCGTTGCGTCAAGCGTTTCTTGATACATCTCCACACACATTTCCAAAGTCGAGTACTGGATCCCAATTCTGGATGATGGCCATGAGTCTCGACACCGCGTAAGGTTAAGATATGTTTCATTTGTGGATTTAAGAGAGGCTTTCACGGATTTTGAAGCAACAACTCGCGAATTTGTCGTGTCTGATCCAAAAAGTGTGTCGTTGCATGCGCTTGGATACCTGTGACGATTGAGAAAGATCACACTCCTATCAAATCCTTGATTCAAACATGTGACCACCTTCAAGGGTCTGTTTGTAAGTGTGTTATTTGTTTTCTGTATTTCTGTTCTCGTGTCCATGATATGTGGCGAGTGAGAAAGAGAGAGAGAGAGAGAGAGAGAGAGAGCGTGAACTTACAGGGTGTTATTGCAGATGTCATTTGAATTAACAAAGATTGAATTGTTGTTGCTGCGGGACATCCTGAAGCCGACAAAACATCCTACATACACAGCAGCAACTACGAAGACGACGAAAGCTGCCATTGCTCTCCGACCCTTCTTCGAAATCTTTGGGATTTTCCAACTCTTCTTCTGCTCTTTCGCCTCTGGCTCATTCTCTTGATCGGCATCTCTGATGCTTGGACAAGCTGCTGCAGCACTGTTGTCCTGTGGGATACCTTCGACGTCCACAGGCAAGATCGCCGCGGGCATATTTTCTAAAACGTATCCCTAACGTCCTTAATCCTGTTAGATGCTAAATGCCTCAATATCTAATGCTTCCGAACATCTTTAACTCTCAAAGCTTCCTTACATCAAAGACCTTCCACAAACGTCTAAACTTGTGCCCAAATCGAGGCTCAAATAACACGGAATCGGCATTCGAAACAATCACTGCTAGAAGGTCTCGCCTTCGACAAGGTAGGCTAGATCAAAATCCGAGAACAATGAGAACGATAGCTAGGTCCAAAGCGGGTCATCTCGTAGAAATCCTCTTCACAAGCGCCACGGCGTCGTTGAATCTGGTTTTCGCAGAAACTCACAGATGACATTTGTGGCGGGGGCAACTTTTGAAGAGAGTAATCTGTATGTAAGTTTTTTCTTATCAGCCAGCTTGTATCACTTGAATCGACGCGATGACCGAACAAACTGATTCAGCACAAGTCCTACATGTCGGAAGTCCAATCACGAGTGAAATTTCCACCGAGACCAACATGCGAAGAAACAGCTGATTATATAATCCAAGAAATCGTCATGTCCATGACATCATCACTTCTGAATGTCATCCTCCTTCCTGGATACAGCTGCTCCACTCCGTTCAGCTCAGAATGGGTCGAGTGCACAAGGGACCACTCGGTGAGATCATAGATCCATCAATTTTTTTATTTTGTTTTATTTTATTTTAATATAAAAGTCGGACCGCAACTTCCTCATCCTTCGCAGCAAGGTTTTGCAGAGAAACGAAACAAGTAAGCCTCGTCACACCTCTTTTCCGACTTTCGTATTGGACATAATTAGTAGTGGGTGAAATGTGAAAATTCTGCAGGTTGTCGACAATCAACGTAGACCAAGAGAAAAGTGCGGAGGTGGGAGCAGATAGCGAGGTGCATCTTCGACAGTGAATCACCGTCGCCCGAAAACCCCACTAGAACCGAATTTGTCTGCAACCTTCCCGAGTCTAACAAGCTTAGCCCAGGACTAGAGTCGGAAATCGGCCCCATGCGGGTCACATGCAACGAGGGTTGAATTTCCCCCACATGGCAAAGCTTCGCGGAAGGCAAAAGGATGTGGACATTGGAATCCATTGCGTGCCTAGCGCGCAATCGCAGCTCGGGGATCTTCCATTCCTGGTCTTGCTCTTCCTCGCCGGAAGAGCAAGACCAGCGGGGCAGCAGCAATACAATCACTTCACCATGATTTAAGCTCATTTTATAATTTGATATTTTATTATTAACTATGCCAATGGGTAGGTTATAAAAGTGATTTCCAGTTCATTCATACTAAAGTTATGACAGGGGCAAGAACACATGTTGTTTAGTATTGATTGTAATATTTTTTTTGAAATAAATCAATTGTGTATGAAAATGTCTACATTGGTTGTTGGGTATGCAAATGTTGTCGGGTTCATAGGTTCGATGTTAGCCATATCATCTTGTAGTTTTTCAATGATCTCTTCAAGATTCACTTTAGGGTGACATTCAAAGGAATATAACTTTGAAAAAATGGGAGATGGGAATCAATATGAGCCACTGAAAATATAGTGGTTAAATGCACATGTGACACTTTTGGTGGAGAAATAATCAGTTTCTGTACACAACTAGAGGATATCACTCAATGCACAGAACAAACCTACCACTATCTGATTCTATTGTATATTCTTTAAATGATTAATTTCATTTTTTTACTATTCTTTTAGCAAGTTATATCCTCTTAAAAAAGAATTCTTGGCATTTTATAATTGGTATTTGAGTTCTCTAATAATTTTCTATCCACCAATTCTCTACATTTTATGCTACTCATTGGAGCAAAAACAATTTGATTCTATCTTCTGTAATACCATATGTAATATTTAACCACTCTTTCTTATTTATTTGTTTATCTGTCTTTTAAAACACAATTATAGTTCAAAATAGTATTATTATTATTATTATTATTATTTTAATTTAATACAAGTCTTCTTGTTATTAATGTGTATCATATCTTAACCATACAAAACCACTACAATAAGCATTCAAGGTTTTTTTATATATATATATATATATATATATAATAGTGGGTACTTTATGATCTTTTTAATTTTTTAACTTTTTTTTTCTATGGCAGAAGTATCATTTTAAAACCTCTTTTGATAATATCATTTTAAAATTAAACTCTTACAAATATATCCTGTTTCTTTAAAAAAATATATTAATTTAATCTATTTAGAACCATGTCAGATATTTTGAAGATCTTCAAGTTTATCTATTGCATCATTACAACATATAAACTACAGATTAAACCTACAGCTCAAATAGATAAACAACAAATGTAAACAACTTAAACAACAAATGTATTGCGTCCAGATATTTTGATGTATGAATTAAATAAGGAACTATTAAAATTTGAGTATATATATATATATATATATATGTTTCTTAATTGAATAATAAAATGTTGGAAGAAGTAGAATAGATATTGTGATTTTTTGTGGAATTAGAATGATAACAAGATAACAAAAATAATACTATGTAAAGAAGAAGATTTCGTTGAAGTGAAGAGTTGATAGTAGACCATAGTTATAGCCAGGCGTGGCTCTGAAGCCATGTCAATTAATTCGGATATGCAGAAACACCAGAATGAATTGTGAAAGGGGACACCTTGAATGAGCTCCAGCCCCAATTCCATTCACAGTGTAGCAACACACACAGAACACACACACACTGAACATCACTTCGAAGCCCCTTTCAATGCGAGTTTGTCTAATGTTCCAAGACTCCTAAATTTTTGGGTACTAAAGTGAGAGGAGCCACCATCTGGCAAAATGGTGGCCCTAATTTTCTCTCGTCAGCCCGGATGAAGGATGAGATATTGTTCCAGTGCGTGACAACATCGCCAGCGTCATGCCTTTCTCCGTCCCACGTGATCACTTCCTCCGACGCGACAATTCTGCCCTTGTGCCAATACTTAGTCCAATCCATACGGAACCAGCATAGGTCATCATTTACTTCATGATCTAACAGTGTGCTTATGTTTCACAATTCTGTATTTCACGCGTTCTCTGCTCAGACTGCTTTGTTCGACCGCGTAACCCTTCAGACAACCTAAATGACAAACTCGCAATAACCATCTTAATAACACCAATTCAACAAGCGACTCTAAGGACGGGCTACCTACAGCAAGATTACCTTTGTCGTGACCGCAACACAGATCTGATCGACACGCACGTTGTGGAGAACGAGAAGGACCGCGCCACCAGAAATGGAACGCAAGGCTCTCAGTTGACAAAGCAAGGACCGGTAGGGTTCCGGAGAGCTTCCCCTGTTTCGTCGTCGAGGTTTTTGATTGCGCTTCTCGCTCTTGTGCAATCTCTGGCGTTGCTGCTCTCTCTCTCTCTCTCTCTCTCTCTCTCGCTCTGCAGATTTCCATCTCTCAGACACCGATTCTGCTCTACGTATGTACCGCTGTCAGTTTTCGATTCCACTTCATCTGCCCAGCTGATCTTTTCATACTGCGTGTTGATTACCCCGATTATTGAGGTGTTGTTTTCTTTCCGGATGTGGAGGATCGTTCTTGCCCCTGAGCAATTTGAAGTGGACGCTCGTCGTTACTTTGTCCATGTTCCTCCATGGTTAGAATTTACGTATGATTTCTACCCAGAGGTCATGAAAGCATTAATTGGATTGCATCTGTGACTTGAAATAGGTTTGCGGTGGCTTCAGCTGTTACTTTTTTGTTCGTCTTCTTCTGGTTTTGCTGCCGTGTGATCTAGCGAATACATGATCTAGTGAACTTCGTAATGCTAGATGTCCCGATTCGTGGTTTTGTTGATTAAGTGGATTTCAGTGTGGTGAATTTTAGTAGCTTCGATGGTATATAGAATTGGTTCTTGATAACCGTGCAGCGTCTCACATGATGGATGACTGCTTGGTTAGTCCCCGGATTTTTTGTTTTGTTTTTTCCTGTTTCGACAGTTTGCTTTTTCTCGTTTTGGATCGGTTCTGTGAACGTTGAAGAGCGGGTCATCAGGATTTTCATTTAGGTCATTTTGTGGGGTAGAAAACTGTGGTGCAGGAAGTACCAGTTGCAGATCGAGGTGGAAAAATGATTGCAAGGTGGGGGGGGGGGGGACATATGACTCCGGACCCAATACAAAGGTCTCGTAAGGCTTGTAAAGGTAGTTTGTTTTGTCGTTGAGAGAGATGCCATCCATAACCATGTTTGTTTATTCACTCTCTCTTCAACACACACACACGTGTTACTGCCGCAAACCTGTTATCATGTTTTGCCATTATTGATTTTGTCTCTCTTTTAAATCGTGGGGTCCTGGAAAAAAAAGCCTCTTGAAAACGAAGAAATGAGGCGAACTTGTGATTGAGCCCATTGTTGGGTATTGTTATGCTGCTTCATCTAATCATCAGTATATCTTGGGTTCGTTTGTTGCTTTTGTTCAGGTTGGTCAATCTTCTGGGCAAATTTACTTAATAGAATTTAAATCCGATGATAGCAAGTCCTTTTTTTTGGGTACAGGTATGATTATCCCCTTGACCAACCGATCCTTAGAAACTGGTTGATTCATTGCCTCTAGAAATATTTCACCCAAGCTTGTCTGCCACATTGTACTGTCTTTTAATGTGAAGGGCAGTTTTGGTAGGCTCATCAACTATTATTTTTCATGCATTCAAGGAATGAGCAGATGCCGTTTCTATTAAGTGCCATGATGGTTGCGCCTACTTGGCTGTCATTCAGTTCAATCGTAGATTATTGCATTCATTTGTTTGAGTACTCCATATATACTATATATTCTATATACAATTAAGTGTGTACTATTATGATATGAAAGCATACAATTTTAATTTTAATCTAAATATGGAAGCACATAAGGATATAGATGTTAATCTTTACAACTTTTTAATGCATTACTTAAATCATCTATCAATCAAGTGAGTGTTGATCAAGATGCACCTTGTATCTTTGATGCTCAAAATTAATGTGTCATGTTACATTTTTTTTTTTGTGAAAATTTAAAGCCACACTTCATCTTATTAATGATTTTCTTATTTTTGGTCTTATTTTAAGAGTTTTTTTAAATCTTTAATAATAGTTATTTTAATTTTAATTTTTAAACTATTTTTTAATTTTTTATATTAATATAGTAATAATAGAATGTATTGAATCTTTAGTTATTTTATTTTATTTTGTTTCATGACGTTGATAGATTAAAATGAATATGTTAACATTATCAAAGTTTTATCTTTTTTAAATTTAGAGTAGATTATTTTTTTTTCTTGATAAAACATAAGTATATAAGAAGTTGTAGATTACCTATTTTGAAATTGGTATTATTTTTAAAATTTTCTTGATTCTTGAGTCTTTTCTTTTATTTATTCCAATGATATTAGTTTTTTTTTTTTTTTTTTTTTTTTTTTTTTTTCCATTGAAATTTTATAGCAAGACTTGTTCAAATGAATGATGCAATAGTACAAATGTAAGAACAAATAAGAGAGTTAATACTTGCAATGCATC